TTAGTTAGTTAGTTAGTTAGTTAGTTAGTTAGTTAGTTAGTTAGTTATAGTTTTTAAGGCAGGGTCCTTTTAGCCCTGGCTGTTCTGGAACTCAGATCCTCCTGCCTCTGCCTCAAGTGCTGGGATTAAAGGTGTGGCCACCACAACTGGTTTGCTATTAGAAGAAGAAATCAAGCATCGTTGTGGCTATCTACTATATTACCTCACTTGGTGGTGAGATAACCAAACTGATTTCTTCATCTGAAGGTGTGACACCATCTTCCTCTTCCACATTCACCTGAAGGAAGCTGAGACCCTGCTCATAGTGTGGCCCAATCCTCTTTGTACAGACAGACATGCAGGCAAAACATCCATAAGCACATAAACAAATAAAGGGAAGGAGAGCTAGAATGTCTGTTCTGATAAGTACACACCTATCACCCCAGCACTAAGGAGGCAGAGGCAGGAGGATGTCTGAATTCGAGGCAGCCTGGCCTATATATATACAGCAAGTTTCAGGGAGACACCCTGGAGTAGCTGGAGTAAAGACATGGTTCAGTGGTTAAGAGTTCATACTGGATCTGCCTGCTTCCTACCCTAACTGCTCCAGCCCAGGCACTGTGCTAGGTCCTTCTCCCAGCTTAAAAAGGGTTCATCCTATCCTTCCAAAAGGTCCCCTCAAATCCCAGGGGAGAATGTACTAATGTTGTTTTGCTAAATGTTGTCAAATTGCCTCCTAAATACATTTATACCCATAAGCTTCAATGCTTCTGTCAAGCTTGGTCAGAGAAGCTTCTTTTTGCAGTGGGCAGCAGTCAATAGAGACTTAAGTGGTCAAGTGTTGTGAGTAAGTGACTGTTGAATGCTCAGCCCTAAATTGTACATCTGCATCATGCTCCGAGAAGCTTAGGAAATACGAAAGATGTGGGAAAAAAATGTAAGAGCTATAGGATGGGGAGTAATGTTGTGAAATGTTGCATATTATCAAGATAATCAACATCTCAGCATGAATGAGAGGAGGAAGGTTCATGATGCTCCAGTAACAGGTGAGGAGTAACTGTCAAATAACAGCTGCTGGGAGACAAGTGATTTTTCTTTGGCGGCATAGCTGCTGATAAGCTGCTTGTCTTCTGTTAGATGGCCCCACATCCATGTCCATGTAGACTCACTAATTGGACTCAAAGGTTATTAAGAAACATAAGAATATAGGAACGTGGGAGGAATGAATGTTGGAGGCTATGAGGAAATTTCGAGAGGAGATTTGGGTTGGATATGAGCCAGACATGTCGCATATATGCACGAAATTGCCAAAAAGTAAATAAAAGAATATGAATGGGGGTGGTATGCAAGACTTTTTGGATATTGGGTCTATTTCAGGGCTGAGATGGGCTAGAACAGATTCCAGAAGCATACTGATCACCAAGTATGGGATTACTCAATCCTGGATATTATTTAACAGATGTTTTGTGAACACTTAGGAAAAAAAAGGGAATGAACACGAGTCAATTATGAACAAGTCATGGTAAACCAACTTCATTTCCTGTTTTGATAGGGTTACCACAGCAACAGGAGAGTATTGGTCACAGCTTCTATACAACTCAAGCTACTTGAAATGTACTTCCCATTTAAGAGACTTCATGTTAAGTGTGGTAGAGGGAAAAAAAAAAGTTCCTGCTCTTGAGATGCTTTGAATTTAGTGAGGAAAGAAGACAGCAAACACACACACAACATAAATTTAGAGAAATGCACTTCCAAAACACAAAGACAATCTGAGTAGATTAATTCCAGATGAGGAGAGCAGAGAAAGAATGAAGTTGGGCCTAAGTTGCAGGCATGGTGCAGTCTTAATCACAGCACCCAGGAGGCAGAGGCAGCAGCATACAGATCTTTGTTACAGGCCAACTGAGTCTGAGTGCAAAGCCACCTACAGCTACACAATGAGACCCTGTTCAAAAGAAAGAAAGAAGGGGTGCGAGGAGGGGTAGACTAAGGGAGGGAGAAAGGCAGGCAAGGAAGGCAGGCCCTTTAGAAACCACATCCTATGAGAGTAGATTTTTTTACGCAAAAGCAGGGATACAAGCAACTAGAAATGTAACATGGAGAGAGAAAAGGACCAGTATGACTATGGGACCACTGACCTCACCCAGAACTGTTCTTTCCCAGAATGAAGCTTGCTCACCAAGAGCCCTCAATTTCTGTCTCAGAAACTGCACAAACCCATGCTGGGCAGGCCACTCTTGTTCTAAAGCTCAAAGTGAGGGAAACATTGTGACTGAGGACTACGCTATAGTGTGCTCTCCTGAAACTATTAGTACAGAACTCTAAGAAATCTAAAGATTTTCTAGTTGACCCTGACCTTTAAGTCCATTTAGTATTAACTCATCATAGTAGGAGGAGAGAACATATATTCCGTTTAATATTTCTTTCTTTCATTCATTCATTCATTCATTCATTCATTCATTCATTCATTCATTCATTCATTTAACGTATATGTGTACTCTATCTGTAGGTCACTTGTATGCCTGAAGACGGCATCAGATTCCAGTATAGATTGTTGTGCCCACCATGTGGTTGCTGGGAACTGAACTCAGAACCTCTGTTAGAGTAGACAGTGCTCTTAACCACTGAGCCCTCTCTCCAGCCCCCGTTCAATATGTCTTAATTTCTATAGCACGTCGGACTCTACAGTCTCATCCCAGGCCTAATCAGTGGCAGATCTGATTAGCACATTAGATCCCTTAGTACATACCCAAGAATGATTTATGTATGTACATACATGTGTGTGTATGAATGGATGAATGAGGTGATGAGGCTGGAATCCTGTGTATTGTAGCCAAGCATTTTACAACAAGTTACATCCCTAGCCTACCTGACTTAGAGATCAGAGATCTAAGATGGCTGTGGGTCATGTCCTGGAGAAAAGTTGGGAAGAGCTGGGAAATGAGGTCTGGGGACACAACTCAGAATAAGTAACAAATAAGTAACAATAAACCAGTTAGGGGCAGTAAGAAAGTAATAAACAATAACAGATGAAGAACCCTTGTCCAACTCTAAAGTCTATGTGTTTACTCAGACAAGCAGACTAGGAAGGGAAGATAATGGTATTTCAGAAGTCAGAGAAGACAGGAACTTTACACTAAGGTAGAGAAGTCCACAGTAAGATGAGAGGTGGTAACCTCGGTCCTATAAGAAACTGAAGGAAAGGCAAGTGTGAATGGAAAGAAAATGCACGTAGACAACTGGAAAGGCATTATGAAGAAAGTAGGCAAATTAAGGTAGGGTGGAAAAGAA